CCACGCCTGCCACACAAAACGACGGCGGATGTGAGTTTGTGCCACGCCTGCCACATGAAACGAAGGTGGATGTCACCAAGTGCCACGCCTGCCACGCAAAGTGGCGGGGCGCCCCGGGCGACAAATCCGGACCAAGCGCGCCACACAGTACCATGAGTGCCACGCCTGCCACGCAAAACGACGGTGGATGTGAGTTTGTGCCACGCCTGCCACGTGAAACGAAGGTGGATTTCACCAAGTGCCATGCCTGCCACGCAAAGTGGCGCGGCGCCCCGGGCGACAAATCCGGACCAAGCGCGCCACCCAGTGCCATCTGTCCCACGCCTGCCACGCAAAACGAAGGTGGATGTCAGGTTGTGCCACGCCCGCCACGTGAAACGAAGGTGGATGTCAGGTTGTGCCACGCCTGCCACGCAAAGTGGCGCGGCGCCCCGGGCGACAAATCCGGACCAAGCGCGCCACACAGTACCATGAGTGCCACGCCTGCCACACAAAACGACGGTGGATGTGAATTTGTGCCACGCCTGCCACATGAAACGAAGGTGTGGACAAAGTGTGTGTGGACAAAGTGTTTGGTGACAAAGTGTGCGTGGACAAAGTGTGTGGTGACAAAGTGTGTGTGGACAAAGTGTGTGTGGACAAAGTGTTTGGTGACAAAGTGTGTGTGGACAAAATGTGTGGTGACAAAGTGTGTGTGGACAAAGTGTGTGTGGACAAAGTGTTTGGTGACAAAGTGTGTGTTGACAAAGTGTGTGTTGATAAAGTGTGTTCACAAAGTGTGTGGTGACAAAGTGTGTGTGGACAAAGTGTGTGTGGACAAAGTGTTTGGTGACAAAGTGTGTGTGGACAAAGTGTGTGGTGACAAAGTGTGTGTGGACAAAGTGTGTGGTGACAAAGTGTGTGTGGACAAAGTGTGTGTGGACAAAGTGTTTGGTGACAAAGTGTGTGTTGACAAAGTGTGTGTTGATAAAGTGTGTTCACAAAGTGTGTGGTGACAAAGTGTGTGTGGACAAAGTGTGTGTTGACAATGTGTGGTGACAAAGTGTGTGGTGACAAAGTGTGTGTGGACAAAGTGTGTGTTGACAATGTGTGGTGACAAAGTGTGTGGTGACAAAGTGTGTGTGGACAAGTGTGTGGTGACAAAGTGTGGAGGAGGGCGGAGGAGGAGAAGGCGGAGGAGCCCGGGATACAGAATCAAAAACAAGAACCCCACACAAAGATGTGGGGAAAAAATATAAACAAAAAGAATGCATATTTAAAAAACATATATATTCCAAAAATATTTCAAAAATGAAAAACAAAAAATATATCTATTTTTTGTTTATTTCTGTAATTGCTTTAAAATAATGTCTGTACATAAATCGAAGGAAAAAAAGAAAACCACAGATTTTTTTGAAATATTTTTTGAAGAAGGGAACAAGTCCTAAGTCATCAACTTTTCATTCGATTTATATACATACATTGTTTTCAAGGTATTAAATAGATTTATCATTTATAGATATAACTTTTCTATTTTTTTCCGCTTTCATTTTCCCATTTTGTTTCCCGTTTTGTTTCCCCGTTTTGTTTCCCCGTTGTGTCTCCCCGTGGTGTCTCCCCGGGGCGGTGATCCCAATGCAACGAGTCGGGGTGAGCGTTTTGCGCCAACGCGCGCGCGCGCGTTCGTGGAAAATGAAAGCGAGCAGTTCCCGGTCGCCTCTGCAGTCCCTGTGGCGCTGCAGTGGGGTGAACAACGGGGCAAGACAATAGGGACCACAATATGGAAGCACAACGGGGAAACATAACGGGAAACAACAGAGAAAAATGAAAAGTGAAAAAAACAAAAAAAATGAGATTTTTTATTTTATTTAATTAATTGCTTTAAAATAATGTCTGTACATAAATCGAAGGAAAAATGAAAATCACAGATTTTTGAAATATTTTTTTGGACACTATAGCTGCAGCGCACGAGCGTGATGACTTAGGATCATCTTAGTATACTTCTGCTAGTTAATTCCTATGCCATCCTGGTTTTACGAGTGGTCCATGCCGCACAAAAAAAAATCGAACATAGTTTCTAATCTCATACGGACACCTGATGAGTTGGGACTTGTGCAGGGGGGGTCTGAAGCATGATGAGATAGGACTTGTCCACCCCAAGGTATCTTTCACAAGTCCTAAGTCACTGGTACCTAATATAGTGTAGTATAGCGTAGTGTCATTAGATGTAAATAGTGTAGTGCACTGCAATTAGTGTTGTGAGATGTAGCGTAATGTAGCGTAGTATTTTGGTACCTGTAGCTGTAGCTGTAGTGTAGTGTAGTGTAGTGTAGTGTAGTGTAGTGCTATCTGCTATCTGCTATCTGCTATCTGCTATCTGCTATCTGCTATCTGCTATCTGCTATCTGCTATCTGCTATCTGCTATCTGCTATCTGCCATCTGCCATCTGCTATCTGCTATCTGCTATCTGCTATCTATCTGTCTATCTGCAAGCTTGAAAACGAAGCTATTCTGAATTCTGCGAGACTTCCTCAGTTTTTGAACTTGACAATATCAAAAACGCAGCAATTCTGCGAGATTTCCTCAATTTTCGAAGTTGACAAGAGTAAAAACGAAGCAATTCTGCGAGACTTCCTTCAAAAATCGAAAGTTGAGTGCAAAGCTCACGGCCTCGTCCCAATGCCTCTTGCGATTTTTCCAGCCCATGTGTCTAAAATACTGCGCCTGCCACGAAAAAGTGATACCAATTCATACGAAGTGCTGCACCTGTCACGCAAAATCATCTCAGCAAACCTGAAGATTTGATGCTCCAAAATGCAACCCCTCTCAGGAAATCAGCGCCCTGACCTCCGAACAGCTCTGATGAACAAGTCTCTTGTACTGCGCCTGCCACGCGAAAGACATCTTGCCAGATCTATGTCCCAAGCCTGCCATCGTTTTAGGACATGCTACAAAACCATCACGTTTTGCTCACTTTTGACAAGGTGCATAATCCCTTGCGCCTGCCACGCAAAACGACATCTGAACGTCCAAAAGTGTTCCGAACCCCTGGTGTTTTTACATTTTTGACTTCGAAATGTGCTTCGTGCCGCAACGACGTGCACTTTTTCGACATCACAACTTCCAAAACATGATGTGTTTTGTGCATTTTGACTTGGAAGTTTGCTTCGCGCCACAACGACGTGCACTTTTTTCGACATCACAACTTCCAAAAGTGGTCCGAACATGGTGCTTTGCACATTTTGACTTGGAAACGCGCTTCGCGCCACAACGGCGTGCAATTTTTCATCTCTCAACCGCATCCGCCGCTTTAGCGAGCCTACTTTTCGACCCTCCGGAGCCACAAATCATTGGAAAAACGCAGTGTTTCGCAATTTTCCTACCTTTTCGCGCACCTGGATCTCTTTTTTGATCTTCTTTCTTCTTCTCTTCTCTTCTCTGAGTCTTCCCATCTCTGCTTTTCATCTGTCCATATTGTCGGAAGTTTGACTTCTAAACTTCCTTCGATCATATTGTGTATATTTTATATATATATATGTGTGTGTGTGTTAAATAAATCAGCATGAATCAGCTATATAGCTAGTCTCTGCACATGCGAGACGAATGCACAATTAGATTAATTATTGGCTAGAAGCTCAGTTTGAGCCCTGTTTCTTCCGGTGCTTTGCTGCTTTGTGATTCTATTTGCACCTCTCCCTGCTCAATAATAAGTCTCAATATCTCTTTGGGAATGCAAAGAATTGGACACGGCGTTCCAAAATGATTCCGTTGAAATCGTTTGCCAGTGACATCCAGTGACGTTATTCCATCCTGTCTGGAGCCCATGCTCTTTGAGGCCCTGGCGCAGGTATCGGACCATATTCTTGAGCAAAAGCATTGCCGCCTGGCCAGACTTGGAAGTGAATTCATGTAATTACAGATCTGTTTATCATGTTTTCTCCATGCAGCAAATTATGCCAGTGGGAACGCTTCAAATCGCCATGTTACATACCTCAACTATCTTGACTCTGGACCCCCATGGAACCCCCATATCTGGAACTTTGTCAGGCCTTTATCAGGATCCAAATGAATCCAAATGATCCGTCTCGGCTTCGTTTCCGTGTTTCGTTTCTGGCAAGTTCTGGCACTGGGACAGTCGCCTAAGATTCGAAGATCTTTCGCAAGGAGCGTCAAATTGTGACCTGCGGCGAGGGCGGGCGACTGAGTCGGGCGAAAGGCAAATGGCAAACTTTTGAGTGTTACAATGTGTTATTTCAATTTATTTCATGTTATTTCTTATACAGAATCTTTTATACCTTACTTATTTCGAGTCTTACAATGTCTTGACAAGGGACACCAAGGCTTCCAAGTGTTAGTCTTACATAGTAGTCTTACTTTAGTCATATCACTCTGCTGCATGTTCTCACCCAGAATGCTGCATTTGCTAAGCGTTCATTTGCTCGGAGATGGTCAGTTGGAGTCTGGCTACAGCAGTGCAATGGTGGTGGAACACCTGAAACTATCTTTTTGCAAACAAATGATGTTGCTTGTACTGTCCTGTGAATCAATCTGCTTTTCTGGCTTGTCTCTGTTCCATTTCTTGTCGGATGAGCTTGAAGAACAGGGACTCTGTCAACACAGTTCCCACAGCTCAAGTCCTCTCATTGGTCCACTCCGACTATAAAATAGGAGACCATACCCCTCGCTGCTGTAGGGAGGTCACAAAATGTCACAAATCATCAAAAGGTAAAACAGACCTACTTCACCGCGCCAGCCACAAGCCGGCTTTGGCCACGGTGACGTACCGTGCGCGGCACATATTGGCACGTCGTAGTGCATTTGCGAATGCCATGTTTGTACACGCGCCGGAAGAACAATTCCCAGGCTCGTGCAGGCTCTATGTAGAAAAACGAAAGAAGAGTCAAGTTGCACGTGCATATATGATATATATATATATAGATAGTATATAATAATATATAAACAGGTTCTATGGTTCCACAAATAGTATTATTATATGAGTATGTTTTAGCGCGACTAGGATACCCTATGTGCTCATTACACAATTCAAAGCCCGCCCTGCACAGAATGGTCTTCTAGGCTTTCCGTGGCATCGTTCACACCTGGACACTGCCGCCATACTTTTCAAGATTCTTCTTTGCCACAGCAGCCAGTTCTTCTGCCTTCACTCAAGGGCAAGCAAACACAAAGTGACAAGTAAGAGCATAAAAAATACTATAAGAATCTATAAGATATCTTTTTCTTTGTATATCTTTGATCATCTTTGTACTCACTGGATACTAGAAGCTGACACAGCCGATGCGTCTGTTGAATCTATTGTAAGAACATGAGCATGGGCCAGGAATATGATGAAGCGCGAGGGACTGCGAGAGTCCTTCAAATCAAGCAATGGTCGGCAACACCAAGGCCACCTGCTTTGGATCAAAGCCGCTCTTTGGAAGCTGGTCAAAGACCTGGCTGCAACACACCAAAAGCATTTGAAAATATCAATTATGAGGATGAGGTCACTATTTGGTAGGTGACTATTTGGGCTGGGCCTGCGAAGGTGGAAAAATAAGAAAAAATAAAAAAAATAGGAAAAATAAGGAAAATAGGAAAATAAGAAAAAAAATATATATATAAAACTAAAAACACATAAAGAATAATAAAGAAAATAAGAAAATAATTTTTAAAAAATTAGAAAACATAAAAACAAATAAGAAAAATAAAAAATAAATAAAAGAAAAAATAAGAAATCAATAAAAAAAAATATATATATATAAAACAATCAAAAAATATATATAAAAATGTAATTAAAAAAAACCGGGCTCTCCAAGGATTTTTTTTGTTTTAAGTTGTTTTTATTGGTTGCCCTCCCAGTTGGTGCCCCACTAGATAGCGCGCTGGTTCTCACATAAGAAAATATCAGAAAGATTCTAAACGCATCCATACAGCACGTCATACAGTGTATCTCAAACAAGACAGCTAGCTCTAGATTGCTGTAGCACCTTCTCACCTTCTGCCTTTTAGTCTGGGCTGTTCACTCACAGTAGTCCCAACTGAGTTGGAATATCAAGTCTCTTAATGCTACAGATTTCTACAGTTCGGAGTCTGACATACAAATGGTTTATGGTCTGGAAATGAGGAGCATCCAAACTTAGTGACATCAGACATCCAGCAGCTTGTCGAGTGCGGTATCATAGGTGATCTTTGGAATCGAATAGATGCCACATTTGTGTATCTATATCATACTGAGATATCTATACTGAGATAAAAACAGAATCAGACTGCCTTCTTGGCAACATCAGAATTCTTCAGGAATTCCTTTGCCATCTTTGCCTACGAAGCCAAGAAAGTGTATCTCTGCTTCGCAGCACTTAAGCATCCTATGATCCAATGATGGAAAGGCTTAAGTCTCAAGCCTCAGGGGCACCTTCTATTTGCTTCTCTGCAACGTGTGCCTGAGGCATCGCATGTCAAAGTAAAGGATAGGCAGCGAAACGGCAAAGATTCGAACAATGCTGTGCAGGTGATAGAGTCCTTTTGGATCATTTTGGCCTGTTGGCATGCGTCATGATCTTGTCTTGGTAAGGTCCATGCAAGTTTTAAGCCAGTTGCAAGCTCCTGTGGAGTATGCCAAGCGCTGTCTCTGCAAAGAAGTAAGCAAGTGACATTTCTACCATTCACATTGAGTTTCAGTCACTGGTCCTCTTTCGCTTTACCACTGAGCAGTTTCTCTGCCTTTCCAATGAGCAAAGCGGCCTTTTTCTTTGTCGCCTGCACATGCAAACCACACCCCCCAAATCATGAAACAGTGTAATCAAAGCATTCTGTGCACCTATGTGCATCTCAAAGATTCTCGAAATCATGTTTTCACAGCTCAAATGCAACTTTGACCTTGACCGGTGTACACTACAGATTAAAGGCTTTCACCATGCAGCTTTCCTTGTTTGCCCTTTGCGTTATTGGATTGTATAAACCTAAACAAACGGTAGGATGTTGTTGAACAAAACTGCAATTGACACAACAAAAACTGTTTTTTGTTTTCAAACTACAGTTGGGAGGCAAATTTGACTGTGCGCAGCTACCACTCGTTGCGAGAAGACCTTGCAGCTATGATTTGAAGAGAAGAGAAAAAACAAACATCCCTTTTGGTTGAGGTGTGAACAAAGCCAACACCCTTCGTTCAATTTGCGCCGCCTCATCCGTGTTCTTCTCCCACAGGGTCTTAATGTTGTTCATGAACTCCTTATTGATGCACAGTCGGACAATGTTATCATCAAGGCGTCTTGACTCCTTGAACTGATTCTGCATGGGAAAGAAAGGAATAGCCAAACGGCAAATAGACATAAATAGATTATAATGATGTATAATGGGTATATATCTCTCTCTCTTGAACTGATCATATCCAGGTTGAGGCCAAGGACAAGTGGGCAGAGAAAAGCAAACATATGATAGACACATATACAATCATATATAATCATATATACATATAATTCCCCAATAGCAATAGCTTGGGGTTGGAAACTCTTTGAAAAGGCGGATGGGCGCCGTCGGGTTTACGGCTGCTGGCCTGGGCGGTGTCTCGGTGGTGTGGGGTCTCGGGTGTTTCGGTGATGTCTCGGTCCTGTCTCGATGGTGTCTTGGTGGTGTCTCAGTGGTGTCCGTGCTGTCTCGATGATGTCTTGGTGGTGTCTCGGTGGTGTCTCGACGATGTCTCGGTGGTGTCCGTGGTGTCTCTGTGGTGTCTCGGCGGTGTGTCGGTAGTATCTCGGTGGTGTCTCGTTGTGTCTCGGTAGTGTCTCGATGGTGTCTCGGTGGTGTTTTGGTGGTGTCTGGGTGGTGTCTCGGTGGTGTCTTGTGGTTGTGTCTCGGTGGTGCCTCGGTGGTGTCTTGGTGGTGTCTCGGTGGAGTCTCAGTCGTGTTGGTGGTTCGGTGGTGCGTTGATGATGTCTCGGTGGTGTCGCTGGTCTCGGTGGTGTCTTGGTGGTGTCTCATGGCTTCCATGTTGATTCAAGGTGTTCACGGTGTCTTGGTCGTATCTTGGTGGCGTCGTGTTGGTTGGTCGGGGCGGTTGTGTTGGTGGTCCATTGGTTGTGCCATGCACCAGGTAGTCTTCAACGGTTGCATGTTGTTGTCATGACGACGACGGCGACGACGGCGGCGACGACGATGACGATGGTGACGATGATGATGATGATGGTGATGATGATGATGATGATCATGATGATGATGTTGATGATGATGATGATGATGGTTGTGATGATGAGGAGGATGATGATGATGATGAAGATGAAGATGAAGATGAAGATGAAGACGAAGAGGAGGAGGAGGAGGAGGAGGAGGACCATGACGATGACGACAACGAAGACGACGACGATGTGACGACGACCTTGCGTGTGCAGGTTTTAGTTGAAGTGGGGGGAGGGGTGAATGTTGACGTATGTTATGAAGTAACTTGCCGACTAATTAGGACTTAGGATGCTTCTACCGAAGCAACTGCGGACATTCCCTCAGTCCATGCAGCAACCAGGGCAGTGGGCTGCTCACCTAATCAGAGGAGTTGACATACCTGTTGCATGCTACACTTGCACCGAGACCCTCGCGCAAATTTATCAAAGGAAAAAGGTATTAGAAGAGAAAACCAACAGGAAAAGAAAGAAGGTCAATTTTCAAAATGCTGCGCGTGCCATGCGGTTTACCAGTGATAGTTGCAAATATTGCAAAGACATGCAAAGACTGTGCGATGCATTAAAAAATGCACCAGTATGTTGCACATACTGCGCAAGTTTCTGAAAACTGCGAACATTCTACAGTGTACAGTTTGTTTTCTTCAGAGCGCCATGAACACCACAGCACAGTTTGCAGATATGATCCCATATCTTGCAACTATCATGCATTGCCGATGTTAGCTTTGCACCGCACTGCTGCAAACATTACCGGATGGCAGAGCCTCGTGCAATGAACTGATGTTGCATCATGCCAGTGCTAGCTGCAGAATGCTGCAAATACCGAGCAATTTTGCGGCAGATACTACGCAGCTTAGAGATTCTAACAGCAAACGACCAACATATGGTGCACCGATACTTTCACACAGAGGTGCTTTCATAAAGACATGTTTTCACACAGGCATTTACACATACACATGCTTTGGGATGGTTTTACACGCAATACCTTCCTGCGCAGGTGTTTTTACACAGGGATGCTTTTATACCCAAAAACACTTTTACACAAGGACGCGTGGACACTTCTACACGCAGATGCCTTTACACAGCAATGCTTTTACAGAGGAGTGCTTTTACACGCACGTGCGTTTACACAGGGTTTCTTTTGACACAAGTTAGCTTTTACACACAGGAGATTAATTAAATACTCTTTCGCAGATATGTTCTTCACACAGAAAAACATTTGTACAAAGGCGTCTTTTTAGACACATATACTTTTGCAAAAGGATTTTTGCGGAGATACTTTTACGGAGAGAGGCTTTTACACACAGGTGCTTTTAGACTAGGACGCATCTAGGAAGAGCTACTCTTACATGGGTGAAGCTGGAAGCACGATTTGGGGGAGGGTTCAAACCATTTGGGAATCAAGTTTCATAGAGATGCGTTCTCATACAAGGGCTTCTACACAGGGAGGGGCCTTCACACAGAGATGGTTTTACGCAGAGAGGTGATTTTACAAAGGGATGCTTCTACTTACAGGTGCTCTTACACAGAGATACTTTCAACACAGAGATGCTTTTTACACACGGGCGCATTAAGGTACAAATACTTTTACACAGAGATTATTTTGCTAACACAGGTACCTTTACACAGAGATGCTTTTACACAAGTGTTTTTACATGTTAATTCGTCTACAGTACTCAGTGCTTTACGCACACATTCTTTTACGCTGAGATTCCTTTACACGCAAGCACTTTGACACTCAGTGGCAGGCACGTTTACATGCAAATACTTTTACACGGCGGTGTTCATTTTGCGCGCGTTTTCTTTACATACACGCATGCAACGTCACAGGGATGCCTTTGATCACACATGCTTTTACACAGAGATATTTTTACAAGGAGACACCTTTGCACAGAGAGAAACGCCTTTTTACCCACAAATACTTTTACAGAGAGATGATTTTACAGTGAGCAATTTACACAGAAACCAAAACAAACAAAGGTGCTTTTACAAAGGAATGCATGTGCACGAAGGGTTTTTAGCTACGGGCATTTTCACACAGACATACTACTGAATTATTTCCTGTGGCGGACACGCGTATGGCGCAAAGAGTTCAGCAAGCATATGCAAAATCAGTTTCACCACAGCTTTTGATGGTCGAGGGTTGGCCCAGGACAATCCCACATTGCAATTTGACCTCATGTATGACGATCGACATTTCGTGCGAACGGGTTGCGTTTCGTGGACATCAATCCATGCTGCCCTGCCACTCGAAGAGAAAAGTCAGAAACAATCAAGGGTGTAGGTGTCTGTAAGAAATTGATTTCCACCTGCGTCTTTACATCTGCCACTTCACACCTGCACATATCCACTAATCGTTTCCAAGAAAAAACGATTTTCCGCCTACATCTGAATATCTTCCGCACTACACCTGCATATGGCATATATTCGTTTGGTAGCTATGTTAAAGAAGATTCTGTCAACCTGTGTCTTTGAATTTGCACCTCAACGCCTTTCAGGAAGATTCATGCTTGCATCTTGGACGGCCTTGATGGGATGTAGCCCTCCCCGGCTCCATAAACGTGTGACCAGGTGGCTTGCAGCTTTTGATGCCCTCATGGTGTGGGCGAGTTCGAGGAAGGGTCCTGAAAGCGGACGCGGGCCAATTTGCTAAGTGGCAGGTGACACGACACGGAAATGTTTATAATCTGACAGGCATTTTTAAAATTGAGAGTGTGCTTGGTTAAGCACATGGCACAGTAGGAGACATGCTTGCATGATGCGGATTGGCACGAATGGCGACTGTGCAAGATTGATGGATGTGTCATTCAGCGGAAGTGCATTTCACAGTGGATGGGGTCCCGGGCGGTGTTGGGTCCGAGAAAACGGAAGGCCTCAGGGATCGAACAGTGGGCATGGATGTGCAGCCAGTGACAAAATGAACATGCAAGCCGGCGGAACAACTGTGAATACGCCGCATATGTTGATTTGCTGGGTGCTTGCTAGGCCGACGCGCAGCACAGATCTGATTTTTTTGAATGACGAAGCAATCGCAAAAGGTTTGCAGTGCAGATCGATTTCGTTGTGCTGTGCAAATTCATCTGAGCCCTGCAATGTTGTCGTGTCTTGGTCTCAATGATTGCGATGGGTATTATGTAACGAACGAGAGGCACTTGAGAGATGATTGCTGTAGGCTTGCTACGTAAGAAGTGATTTGATATGTGTAGTTTTGGAATTTTGGATCGCTTATAAATCGTGTCAATTGCAGCTGCCCTGGCTCAGAAAAGGTCGGAAAAATACAGCGCGGACGGTGTCCTGATAGCCTTGGGCTTTGAGCGTGCAAGGGCTTGCGCCCGTTGAATTAAGGCATCGGCATCTCCAGCCTGTACAAGCTGCCTGACCGACGAGCTTTTGGAGGCAATGCGATGACGCACGGCACCGGCTATTTCGTCCAGTGCGATATGCTCGACTGGATCAGCAATGCCATGGAGATGCCGAGGGTGAAACATGCGACAGCGAATTGCTGCCCCGGCCGCCGCAGATAAAAAGACCTTGGGCAAAGGCATCCAAACCTGGCCCAAGGGGAAGTTGAATTTGGGTGTGAAATAGTTTTAGGTTTTTTTTTGGAACAGGTTTGGGAATTTTTTTTGGATGTCTTGGCTGGTACCATTTGCCTAGTGTTTGCAACGGTTTGGAACTTGAACTTGTCATTTTGCATGGTATTTGCAACATTTGGGCATGTTCAGAAGGTGTTTTGCATGGGATTTACTACATGTGGGCATGTTCACCTTCCATTTTGTATGGTATTTGCCACATTTTGGCATGTTCACCTTCCATTTTGCATGGGATTTCCTACATGTGGGCATGTTCACCTTCCATTTTGTATGGTATTTGCCACATTTTGGCATGTTCACCTTCCATTTTGCATGGGATGTTCTACATGTGAGCATGCTCACCCAAATATTTACAGATGCGGAAGCTTGGGATTAGATAAAAAGCGGGTGGGGGGGATTGAGGGAGGGCGCTAGCTATCTATCCAGCTAGCTAGCTATCTAGCTATCTATCTAGCAAGCTAGCTATCTATCTAGCAAGCTATCTATCTATCTAGCTATCTATCTACCTATCTAGCTAGCTATCTTGCTAGCTATCTATCTACCTATCTAGCTACCTAGCCATCTATCTATCTAGCTATCTATCTACCTATCTAGCTTTCTATCTATCTAGCTATCTATCTATCTAGCCATCCAGCTGTCTATCCAGCTATCTAGCTATCGAGCTATCTATCTATCTAGCTATGTACTATCTAGCTTTCTATCTATTAGCTATCTATCCAGCTATCTAGCTATCGAGCTATCTATCTAGCTATCTATCTATCTATCTAGCTAACTATCTACCTATCTATTTAGCTATCTATCTATCTATCTATCTAGCTATCTAGCTACCTCTTTATCTATCTAGCTAGCTATCTATCTATCTAGCTATCTATCTAGCCATCTATCTATCTAGCTATCTATCTAGCCATCTATCTAGCCATCTATCTATCTAGCTATCTATCTAGCCATCTATCTATCGAGGTATCTAGCTATCTATCTCTCTAGCTATCTATCTATCTAGCTGGCTATCTATCTATCTAGCTATCTATCTACCAAGCTATCTATCAGCTATCTATCTATCTATCTATCTATCTATCTATCTATCTATCTATCTATCTATCTATCTATCTATCTATCACATGTAATCCTGTCAGCTTTCCAGAGAACGTTAGTTCACAAAAAACAACTAATGTAACTTGGGTTTAAGTTTAAATGAAAAAAAAGCGGCAGGGGGGGATTGGGGGGAGGGCGCAGCGCCTCCCCCCAAAGCAGAATGCAAGCACCTCTTCTCACATGTTACGTTGCTAGTTTTCAAGAGAAGGTTGGTCATGTGATACTCAGGGATGTAAATACTGTGCAAAATGCATCTTACATGAAAATCAAGTATTTAAAGCAGGCAAAGCAAAAAAAAAGCAGAGAAGCAAAAAAGCAGAGAAGCAAAGAAGCAGAGAAGCAAAGAAACAGGAAACGCACAAAAGCAAAACAGCAGAAAGGCAAAGAAGCAGGAAAAGCAGAAAAGCAGAGAAGCAGGAAAAGCAGGAAAAGCAGGAAAAGCAGGAAAAGCAGAGAAGCAAAGAAACAGGAAAAACAGAAAAGCAAAAAAGCAGAAAAGCAGAGAAGCAGAGAAGCAGGAGAAGCAGAAAAGCAAAAAAGCAGAAAAGCAGAGAAGTAGAGAAGCAGGAGAAGCAGAAAAGCAAAAAAGCAGAAAAGCAGAGAAGCAGGAAAAGCAGGAAAAGCAGGAAAGCAGAGAAGCAGGAATCCAAAAATAATTCCTAAACCTGATCAAAAAAAAATCCTAAAATAATTAGCCCTCCGTTGAATTTGGGCATGCAGTTGCACAGAACCTTCTCAGGGTCAAGCTGAGGAGCGCCTTGTGCATACAGAAACAATGGACGGAGTGAAATCGTAGAGCGCGGCGAATTCATTTGCAGGCATGCATCTCGAAGTAGGGTATGACCCAATTCAATTATGGCCTTTGCGTTCACTTTTTTCGGCGCGTCGTAAGCCTTCTCGGCAGCGACGGCCAAGCGAACGGCCCGAATTAGGGAACCGTCGCGGTGGGGTGCAAGGGATTCAAATGCCGCTTGCTGCGTCTTCTCTGCCATCGCAGTGAGGAGCCCCCGAATCTGCGGTGTGGGAGTTGTCAAGCAATGATGCCTGTAGTGCATAATGCTTGTAAGAGGCAACGGCTTGAACTGTACACTCTTTACATGCCGTTCGATCTCCCCGCGCGCAGCGACGAATTCAGGCAGTTTGCGACCGCCATTTGTGAATTCCAAAAAAGCTAGAAGGGCAGGATCAGAGGTGAACATCAAAAGGTCACCATCATAATCGCCGCCCCCTAGAGCAACACAACCGGACCCAATGCAGGTGCAAATAACGCAGTTATTTGGCACCTGTCATGCAAATTCGGGAAGAGGGCAGGCTTCCCAAATTTCTAGGTCGGCTGATTGCATGACGGGGAACCGCCAGACGGCGAATTGACCGACCCACACCGAGCCGTTCACTACGATGTGGCACTGTCGGTCCTGGCGAGGCCCAAGGGACATGTGTGCACGGATGCATGGATGCATGCGGACAGATACTACGCTTATGCATGTGACCATGCGATTTTTTTTGGGGGGCTGAGTTGATCAAGAACAGTTTAATCAGCAAGGTGTGTGCGCAGGACCCGGCCTGCAAAGTATGCCAGGGGTCTGACACCGCAAAGCCGGTCCCGCTTGGCCCGGAGATGGGCAGCTGCGGTTTCCTGGCTAGCGATGTCAGACCACCTTTAAATCGACGGCGCCCCCGGAGGTACGCGTCTTTGGTACCTGATGACAGCTACCCAGAACACAAACACATTAATATATAATATCATGCAGGTCATGGCGCATGACAAATGGGCAATAGGCATCCCCGCCTCGGTCAATGCGCCAGGGTTCCGGGTCGACGCTCGCCTGCAGCATCTCGTCGAGTGGAGTGGCAGTGAGGTCGGCCTGACAAGGAGCACGGAATGAAGAGCACGAAAACGAAGGACAGACCCAGAGATGTTTGTGTTGTTTGCCTTGCCTCTGCCAAATCCTCCACGTACTTGATGCTGAGGCACTGCTGGGCCGTCCGCTGCGCTGCCCAGGCGTCCATTTCTGGCAGCGCTGAAGCAGCAGCGGCGGCGCCAGCAGAGGTGGTGGGACGCCTTACCACCTTGGACGACAAGTTAGGCGGTGGTGATCTGCGAAGTTTGGTGAGCATTGGGATGCATGACAGTGCTAGGAGCGGCGGCAGAGGGCTAAGGCAAGTGCCTTTTCACGCTTCGCGTGCTGCGTGCGGCGATGCTTTATGTCCCATGCGTCGCGGGCGATCTGGAGCGTCGACTCCTGCCATGTCAGAGAGAAACAGAGAGAGAGAGAATGCTGGTGGAGATTGAGGGATCAGAGCTTGCATTGCATGAATTGAATGTAAACACTTGGAAATTTTCCTTCTTGCAAGCGGAGAGGAATGCGCCCAAAAGATGTTCCGCCTTCCGCTTGTCCTGTCGCAATTTAAAGTAAAACGGGAGAGATTTCATGAGAGGGGTGATCGCGGCAACGACATGAGTTATATATAGTGTCTACTAGAGATATACGACAGGGTAGCAAAATTCTTGAAATAGCGGCATATTGGTGTTCACTATAATAGCCTTACAGCAGGTCGCCTCATCGTCTGCGCACAGGAGTGTGCGCATTTTAGCGGCTGCGTGCAGCTGCGGCACCCAGCGAGGTGGATCAAACGCATCGGAGCTATCCTGCATTTGGCACGGCAAGGGAGGAGAGCATGGATGCAATGAGCAGTGGAGGTTAAATATGTTCTTTGGGACAGCGCAAAAATCCATCATGTAGCAATTTAAGCAACCCAGGTCCTGAACGATGTCCAGGCCCAAGTGCTCCTCGGGTCCGTCCGCCATCGCCGGGTATACCATCTTGGCAGTGGACGTGGGGAGCCGCAGCTGCCATGCTTCCGTCGCGTCCTGTTCGCATGGGAAAGAATAAACATGGACTGGAACAAAGTTGACGCGACAGGTTTATATTCGCGGCAAGACAAGGATATATATATATATATGTCCAAGCCTGAAGGCGTTATAAGTGACAGTCCCCGGCCTCGCCGACGATGAGCAGACCCTTGCCCAGGACGTGCTGGCCGGTGGCAGTTTCGCGAAGGAGGCCGCGAAACTGCATCACTGGGTAGCACACGCGGCCTTTTTTGGCGTGACCCCGCAGCTTGAGAATCTGAAGAAAACTTGAGGTCGAAAGTAAAAGAATCAGTTGTTTGCTACGTTGCTTCAAGTTTGATTGCCCCTGACAGTCTGACATTTCTGGGAGGGGAGTTAGTTGGAGACTTGCAAATGGATGGACGCATGACCTTGGCCACTGGAACTCTATATTCAGAGAGGTTTGCTCCCATGGTCCCGAAACTAATCCGGATTTACTCCTTTTTTGGTGCGCCCAGATGTACATCTGGGGGTTCTGCGCCTCTCTTGACATACAAAAATTTCATTTTGTAGATGTATTAAAGTGAGGATGTTGAAGAAGAAGAAGAAGAAACAAAGAAGAACATGATGATAATGATGATGATGATGGCTACTACTATTGGTGTTGTTGATGATGATGATGATGACTATGCGGGGGAAGTTGAAGAAAATGATGATGATGATGAAGATGAAGATGAAATGGAGATGAAAAAAAACGTGATGATGATGACGATGATGACGATGGTGTTTTGAGGATGGTGGATGTCTGTATTGACGGTGTTGTGATTATGGTGATGGGAAAATTATATTTTGGCAAAGTGTGCTGGCAACAACTTTTTGGGAAAACAAAAACCCTTCGCGGGCCTTTTCGGGAATTGGTTGTGTCTGTCCTGATGGTGTCAGTCCTGATGGTTCATGGTGTCTGTCCCCCTGCTGGTGCCTTGGTGGTCTCTCAATTGTGTTTCGGTGGTCATTGGCGTCTTGGTGGCACTTTGGCGGTGTGTCCGTAAGTCTTGACGGTGTTCGGTGATGTTTTGAGTCTTGCTCATGTTGTGGTGTTTCAGTGGTGTTCTGGTGGTGTTCCGGTGGTGTTCCGGTGGTGTTTTGGTGGTATGGAAGAAACGGCGTTTTTTTAAGTGAAATGGTTCCCCGGACAATACCAAATTGGCGTCAACGGAGATGGGAAACTTTGCTATTGGGGTTGTATGCTGGGTTAATTTATTTTATGATATTGTATGATCGAAGGAAGTTTAGAAGTTAAACTTCCGACAATATGGACAGATGAAAAAGCAGAGGTGCAAAGAGCCAGACGGGAGCAGAGTCAGAGGGGAGAAAAGTCAGAAGAGAAACGATCAGAAGAAAGAAGATGCAGGTGTGCGAAAAGGTAGGAAAGTCGCGAAACCCTGTGTTTTATGTTTTGTGGCTCCGGAGGGTCGAAAAGTAGGCTCGCTAAAGCGGCGGGTGCGGAGACATCTGGGGAGATGAGAAATGAAAAGTTGCACGCCGTTGTGGCGCGAAGCAGATTTTGAAGTGAAAAGGTGCAAAACACCTGGGTCTCGGAGCACTTTTGGAAGTTGAGATGTCGAAAAAGTGCACGCCGTTGTGGCGCGAAGCGCGTTTCGAAGTGAAAATGTACAAAACACACCATTCTCGGACCACTTTCGGAAGTTGCGATGTCGAAAAAGTGCATGTCGTTGTGGCGCGAAGCACATTTCGAAGTCAAAATGTACAAAACACACCAGGTCCGGACCACTTTTGGCAGTTGAGATGTCAAAAAAGTGCACGCCATTGTGGCGCGAAGCACATTTCGAAGTGAAAATGTACAAAGCACTACATGTTCGCGCCACTTTAGGAGGTTCAGATGTCGTTTTGCGTGGCAGGCGCAAAGGATTGTGCACCTTGTCAAAAGTGAGGGTTTTGCGGCATTTCCAGAAACGATGGCAGGCGTGGGGCATTTGAAGAGGATCTTCAAAGATGCATTCGCGTGGCAGGTGCAGTACAAAAGACATGTTCATCAGAGATGTTCGGGGGTCAGGGCGCTCATTTCCTGAGAGGGGTTGCATTTTGGAGTATCAGATCTTCAGGTTTGCTGAGATGATTTTGCGTGACGGGTGCAGCACTTCGTACATCAATTTTTCGTGGCAGGTGCAGTACTTTACACAGGTGGAGTGGAAAAATCGCAAAACGCATTGGTACGAGGCTCCCAGCGCTGCACTCAACTTTCCATTTTTGAAGGAAGTCTCGCAGAATTGCTTTGTTTTTGACGTTGTTAAGTTCAAACATTGAGGAAGTCTCGCAGAATTGCTGCGGTTTTGGACGTTGTTAGGTTGAAAAAGAAAAGAAGTGTTGGAGAATTGTTTTGTTTTTGATGTTGTGAAGTTCGAAAAATGAGGAAGTCTCGCAGAAGAGCTTCATTTTCAATCTGGCAGATAGACAGATAGACAGACATAGATAGATATATAGATATATAGATATATAGATAGATAGATAGATAGATAGATCGATCGATAGATAGATAGATAGATCGATCGATAGATAGATAGATAGAGAGATAGACAGATAGATAGATAGATAGATGGATGGATGGATGGATGGATGGATGGATAGATAGATAGATAGATGGACACATAGACAGATAGTTAGATACCAAGATAGATAGATAGATTAGATTAGATTAGATTAGATTAGACTAGATTAGGTTAGGTTAGATTAGATTAGATAAGATAGAGAGAGAGAGATAGATAGATAGATAGATAGGTAGATAGATAGACAGATAGATGGACAGATAGACAGATAGATAGATGGACAGATAGACAGGTAGACAGGTAGATAGAGAGACGGTTTGATTGATAGAGAGTTGGAGAGATAGATAGATATAGATAGATGGCTAGACAGATAGATAGAAAGACAGACAGACAGACAGATAGATAGATAGATAGATGGACAGAGAGACAGAAAGACAAATAGATAGAGAGACAGCTAGATAAATAGATAGATAGACAGATAGATACATAGACACATAGACAGATAGTTAGATACCAAGATAGATAGATAAAAAGATGGATAGATACATAGACAGATAGATAGACAGGTAGGCAGATAGACAGATAGACAGAGAGACAATGAGAGACAGTTCGATAGATAGACGGAGAGATAGAGAGATAGAGAGATAGAAAGATAGATAGAGAGAGATAGATAGGTAGGTAGATAGATAGATGGATAGATAGATAGATAGATAGGTAGACAAATAGCTAGAAAACTAGACAGCTAGATAGATAGATAGATAGATAGACAGACAGATAAATAGATAGATAGACAGATAGATCAGTAGGTAGGTAGGTAGGTAGGTAGATAATCAGAGAAAGATAGAGAAACAGAGAGAAAAAGAGAGAAAGAGTAAACAGAGAGAGAGAGAGAGACATCAAGCACCTTTCAGTCCATCAGTGGCTTCGTTCGCTCTGCCATCCCTGAGTCACAACAACCACCCTCTCCTATAGGTTTCCGATTTTTGAAACTTCTGCCACCGCCTTGTGCGGTACTACTGGTATTATATGATATGTGTGTAGCAGAGTAGCTGGTCTAACTGCTGTCTGAGCGTCTGCCGCGCCTTCCTTCAACTCCTGAGTATCTTGATGCTCAAACCTCAGTTCCAGCAGGAGACCACGTCTTGCACCGAAGTCATTGCTACTAGGTCACTACAGGTCACTACAAAATAACGTACTACAAACATCTACAAACCATGCGATAAGGATGCTATGTCTGCTATGTGTTGTGCACGCCATGTAGCGCGGTCTTGGCCTTCTCTGCGAGCTTCTTGGCATCGTCATTGCTACTAGGTCACTACAGGTCACTACAAAATAACGTACTACAAACATCTACAAACCATGCGATAAGGATGCTATGTCTGCTATGTGTTGTGCACGCCATGTAGCGCGGTCTTGGCCTTCTCTGCGAGCTTCTTGGCATCGTCCTTCAGTTCTTCCTTACGCAATAGGCAGGAGTCCGCAGGACGCACCACAGGATGCGCCGCAAACACTGTAGGTAACAGCTGGTTTAACAGCTGTAGCACGTGATCAGTGACTGCACTTCCAAATTGTCGAGAGGAGTCGGATTCAACACTCCGATAGATTCGATAGTGTGCAGTGGTCCTGTTCTTGCCTGAACGACACAACCTCAGGAAACCTCAAGCTACACTGACTGCAGTTTCGTTTTTCACCTTCTCCATGTCACACCTGTCATCTTCTGACACTTTCTACCAGTAGTGGCACAAGAGCTTTGATGCATTTTGTAGCAAGCGACGCCCGCAGGAGACGCAGCTGCCTGCTTGGCCCAACCAATAGCATTCTGGAGGCCACCACTCACTTGGCTTGGAACCTGTCAATGAAAATGATTGAAAATCAGCTCATGGGCGAGGTATGCAAGGTGCAAGACGACAGAACAGAAGTATACAAAAGTCGATTCTTGATGGCCTTCCATGGCCTTCCATCCCAACATGGCTTCTTCGTTGGGTGTTTAACCCACCTGCATCTGCATTGGCATCCTCATTTCCATCGAGCTGGATTGGGCTGGCCGCGCCATGATCATGGGCATGCTTGACATCGGTGCCTCCAGGTGGAAGACTCAATCATTGAGTTGATACATGTGGCAGATATTGACAGATCATGTTACAGATCATGTGATCAGATAATCAGCTTCAGCCTCATCCATGGGCAAATTGCACAACCTAGCCATGCAGGATGCAAATAAAATCACACAATCATCCAAAACTTCTGTCAGAGGCAAAGTGACCTCGAAATAAGCCCCTACATTTTTTCAGATGTAAAATCAACGATGACGCTCGGTTCTTTCACAAATTCGCAGAATTGGTCTCAGACCTAGCCAGTCTCTTGTACCATCCTTGATGCTTCATCCACTCCTGCAGTTCTCTCCACGGGCAAAGGTGAAACTGCCATGAACTATAACGCCAAAGATTGTGATGCTTTACAGTTCCAATGCTTTACTGTCAGTTCTCTCTACTTTGTTACAGTATAGATCAACTTGGTACAGTATTTCCGAAGCAAGACTATGCAATGTGTCCTATCAAAGTTGTTACTTCCTGCCTTGCCTTGTGACCACCCTCCATTTCTCTTCTGATGAAGTCGCACTTCTTTTGCCTGAAGTCCTGTTTTGGTGTCAAGGTCAACCTGGCAACCCTTGATTTGTATTCCGGGGTACTCAAGCAAGAAATGCTAGCTGTATGCATGCGCAGCAAGAAATACAAAACTCCGCAATACATCAGAATACTTCGATGTTTTGGCACTTCTCTTGGATCCAACAGTGCAGGGCTCCTGACCCGCCACAAGGCCAAAACACAGAAGAACATGGAATATTGAAAAGCGCTGCATCCTTCAACTCCTGAGAGAAGCCGGGCCTTCAACCTTCGACGACTTTCGACCCTAACTTTCAACCCTAGCTTTTGAACCTTCGACCAAGCGCAATCTTCTTTACTCCTCAAACGTGATGTGTATGTAGCACACTTTCTCCATTGGAAGCCTTCATAATGTCCTATCATTTATTAAGTCTCAAAGCCTCAAGCACCAACATTTCAAAAGTCTACAAGACATGTCCTTCAAGTAAGGCTGCACGTTCACTTCCAAGAAGGATGGGTTTGAGTCTGAGTGAAATGACTGCAGAGAGTGCTTTGATCTGAGGCTGGTGTAACGAATTAATCAGCCACGCTGTACTCTGAAGTTCAAAATGAATAAAGCGCAGAAAGCATGTGACCCGAAATACATTTCGCACACATTCACAAACTGTCTAGACCGGAGAAAAACTCCTTGAGCTTGCTATGGAACGAAAGTGAGCACAGCTTGGTACTGCCAGGTAAACCAGCGAGTCAATCTCATTTAAATTCAGTCGCTGCTTCTAAAACCCAAACATGGAAAACCAAACAAGAAAACTGTGTGTAGGCAATAGACCCATCACTGCGTAAGCGTCTCTGAGCTTCCATTCCTGACGCTGGAATCTACATGTTTTTAATTAACATCATGGCCAATGATGGCCTATGATGTCACGCTGGATGCAAAGTATGTCTTCAAAGCAAGTGCAGTGTTCAAAAGTGCAGCTCAGGCTCCTCCGGCTGACAGGCCTCACTTCTCTCCTGGCAGAACTGGGGCTTTCTGATGAAAACTCTTGGGAGAGCACATGGCATCCGAATTAGTCTGCCTGGGACAGACTCATGCAAGACTGAATTGAAAACAAGGGCTACTTAATAAGTAAACACAATAGAACACAATGCAGCATAATAGAACTGCATAGAACTCTATCATAGAAGTGCTACATATCTGTAAGCAGAAAGGCGTGGATCCGTCCAGTTCGTACCCGATGAAACCACTATTCCTCGACAAAGTCTGCACCAAGCAGAGCTGCATGAAGCAGACTACACAGTGACCTCGAATGCCAAGGCAGTTTTTTGTACGCTGCAAGTGAGTTGTGTTTGTCCAAAAGTCTTCCATCTTTAGATGAGCTTCAAATCCATCATTACTTCGTTTCAGCTCACATGGGAAGGGGCATGTGCACAGAAAAATTGAAAGGCCGCATCTCCAAATCTACAGACCCATGATCATGCGCACATGCCCGAGCAATCCCGAGCACATGAAATGAAGTGCTTTTGCCGGGGACAGAACAAATGCAGTAATGATGTTAGTTTGTGCATTACTTAGCACGTTGTGACAAATATAATTACTAATATCAAATTATACTGTATAAATGTATATTATATAATTATATATATATATTATAATTATATATAATTATACCATTTCAATCTCCAGCAGCTGCCTTCATGCTGTGCTTGTTTCAATTTCCTTCTGCTTGGCACAATGAGATCCTGGCGTGCCACCTGCACGTCTCAGGTGCTGAAACCTCACAAAGAAATGGGGTGCGACCACAGATCCGACGGCAAATATGATGAGAATGTGGCAATTGCGAATAATGAGCAAAAATGATGCAGAAATGATTTAAAATAGACGTTGGAAAAAAAAAACATGTGAAAACCTATGAAAACCTCAACGACTGGGTGAGGAACCAAAGGAGGCCACGTCCACGGCGCCAGTAGTCCTTCCATAAAAATGGAATGCATTCCCAAACGGTTGCCATTTCCCTTGTGTGACAAAGATCACTGAATCTTCCTGAATTTTGAGTCGCTCTCGTTTCATTTTGAATGATGCTTCTCATCGCATCACAGTTGAAGACCTTCCTGTATCTCTGTGACATGTACAAGAGTTCAAGAGAATGCCTGAAATTCAACGACCAATCGACAGTCAGTCCGTGGCAATCTCCCTGTCACGTCGCAAAGCCTTTCGCAGCACCCGCTGGCGAGCTTTGGTTTTGAAGTTCAGACGGAAAGCATTGCAAGCCATAATGTCGATCATAAATCAATGTAAGACATGAGTTGCTGCACGAATCAATGCACATATTACAAGAGGTTGAAGGTCGCTTGGTTTCCAGCATGAGACAGGTTCATTGGCCTGGGTATTCATTTTTTTGGATCTGATGTTTCCTCACTTTGATTGCATAAAATACAGCCAAGCCATAGACAGAGCGCTCTCAACGCCTATCAGCAGCAGCCTCAGATATTAAATGTCAATGTTAGCCAAAACTTAGCAGACAAAATGGAAACATAAAAAAGGGTGCAAAATTAGACCAATTAGTTTCCAAGGCCAAAGCCAAGGCTGTTCAATTCTACGCCTCTCACATCCTCTCACCATAAGCAGCTATACAATTGAGCTATGAAGAAGCTGGGAGTCACGCGTGACTGGCCAACACTGAGATTGGAATAGAGTCCTCAGTCTTCAATTACTATGCAAAACCCACTTTAATCTCCACACATCCTCCATAATGTTCACTAATTTTCCATAATGTAATTTTACTGCACAGGGTGGAAGCAACCTCTACAGGAAACAAATGAAAACGCCTCGAAATCTTGGAACTGTCCCGTGCAAATTGCTGAACACATCATTCCGGGGAGCGCACATTTCTGTCTGGAAAGCAGCAGCATCCAGAAGATGTCCATAATTGTGAGATAAAACTTTGGCCAAAAGCCGTTTTCAAGGAATAAATTATTTTACGTTTTTTTGGTTTTTTTAATGATTTAACTGATTTAACTTCATTTTTTAATGACATATTTAATGGTTCCATTTTTGCTTTATGATTTCACTACATTTTGACTATGTTTGTTTTTGATGTTTTACTGATTTCATGTTATTTCTCAATGTTTATTTTTGTTAAGTTGTTTAAATGATTTTTAAATGATTTTTCATATTTTTTGTGGTCATAAAAAATCATAAAGGTATCATTAAAAAAACATTAAAAAAACATAAAATTTACATAAAATTTTATGAAACAATTATGTGCTTAATGTGTTTTAATGAACAAACATCTTTTTGGGAAAAATCATTAAACAACACATATTTTTTTAATGTAATATGTTATGATTGTTTAAGGGTTGTTGTATGGTTTTTAATGTGTTTTTTTTTTAATGATTTGTTTTTTTATTATCATGTTTTGTTTTTTTCAGTTTGCAAGTTTTTTGGCATTTACAAAAATATTACAAAAAGAAATGCCCAAAACAATTGCAAAATAAAAATCATACAGAAATCAGAAATCATTAAACAAAAGCATAAAAAACATTGAAAATCATTAAAATTACATAAATTTTATGATTTGTTTATGGTTTTTTCCATAAAGTTGTTTGTTCTTTTGAACAAAACATAAAATCTTCATATTTGTTTATGTTTTTTCATGTTGTGTTCAATGTTTTTTTAAATGTTTTTTTAAATGTGTCCTTTATGTTTTTTTTTGTGACCACAACAAATGCCCAAAAAATGAAAATAAAGCAAAAAACAACATTTAAAACATCAAACTAATTAAAACAACATGAAAAAATGAAAAGAAAACATTAAGAAAACATAAACAAAATCTGGCCCCTAACAAAAAACATTTTAAAAAATATAATGAAATCGTAATGAAATCATAAAAGAAATTCTTTATGTTAACCCCTGTTTTAGCCATATCCAAACTCACAAGTCTATCATTATACCGTCTCTATTTGTGTTGGCTCAGGCAAGAAATTGGATGCACAGCAATTCCTGATCTGAGAATATTTGAGATCTATCAACAAGCGGCAGCACCAAGTTACATTACATTCTACTCCACACAATCAAATCTGCCATATTCCATATACTGCCCATTTTTGCTGGAGCCGGAGCACGTGCAAAGCATGCGAAACTATGGGAACTTGAGATATCAAATCAAAGCTTAACGAACATCAATAGACATTGTTGCTGGTATTCCAGCTGAAATTGAAATGGCATCATACCATCATATAATCCATCATACTATTGTCAAATCAGACTGGTCCAAGACTACTTCGCCTCAAACCGAACATTGAGCCTATCTTTTGCGGTGAACCTTGCTCTTGTTTGTGCAACAATCGCAGAACCGCTTGCTGGATGGCTGGATGTTGTCTGCGCTCAAGTAAGCTTGTTGTGGATGTGCCTTCACAATACAGGCAATACACCTCCGGTGTGATTTCCCTCGGTTTGCGGTTTGCATGACAACATGACACTCTACAACATGCACATTTGGTTTTTGAACTTGCTTTGAAATGCTTTGAAGTTGTCCAGGTCCGCTTGCAATTGAAGAACTCACAATGTGTTGGAAAGTCTTGCCTTGTGTTCCAAGGTAGCAAGTTGCATTTTGTTGCTCCTATCTGCCTATCTTGGGCTAATGTGAGCAGTGGCAAAAACCCTTGTACAAATCTCTTCTAATCCTAGATGTCTTCCCAGCTGTTTTCCACGGTGCTTCCTAGACCACAGCTTTAGCTTCCGCAGATGGAGGGTGAGCTGATATCTCTTCCGCGGAGCCTCCACGAAAACAAGCTGTGATAAGTTCAAAGTTGAATGAACCTCGCTTGGACGTTGTGGGGAGTGTTCGTCTCGGCACTTTCGCGATTGAATGGTTAGCCTTTACTCTTCCGCAAGCTCTTCTGCGCGCTTCCGTGGACGTGGGCTTCGCTTCCGCAGGCCGCCCCAACTTAGTTTCGTCCTCAACTTTCCTTCATGGAGGTTTTTGATGCTGCTCATGATGTGTCATGTGTCGAAACCTGAAAATGATATGCAGAAAAAAGCTAGCAACATTCTTTTGCCACCGGTGCACACGGGGTTTGCAAATCCCAGGAAAATGAAACTCAGCTTCGATTCTCTGTCTTGAATCTGATCCCTTCTCAACACTGCATAGCGAGTCAACCCGTCTAATTCCATTTCATGCAATTTCAACTTCATGCCGAAGGTCTTCCATACATATAATGTAGAATAATGATCATGTTGACGCATTCTCTTTGCTGAGCTGGATCAACTGCATCGCTTCATCCCTCATGGGAGCAAAGCCCAAAGCACATTTCACTCGCGTGTTAGGTGGCACCTGCATGATGCATGGCTGCATGATGCTGCATGGCAGATGTGTTCCCGTGACATCATGTGACATCTCATTTGCTGCGCACCATGTGAATATGTCTGAGTCATTCTGAGTCAATGTGTGACCTTAAGCGACGCGTTAATCACATGGTGAACACATGGTGAACCTAGGAGCTGCTCGAGGAGCTGGACTTCCGCTTTACGCCACGAGCTTCCTGGACCAATGGAGCAAGATGTCCGAAGAGCCGAAGAAGACCGAAGAAGATCGAAGAAGATCGAAGAAGGGCATCGCAGACACTATGCAGAAATTATGCGGAATTTATATGAACCAATTCTTGAACCAACATTTACTGTCTGAATGCTCGGAAATATTCGGAAATACTGTTTGAATCTCTGTGCAAATTGTGCTGGATCTTTCTGGACAAGTCCCATGCCCAGCATCTCTGCACTACACCATGCATTGCGCAGCTTCGCATCTCCTGCATTGCTCTTTCAATTTCGAGGAGCTTGGCTTCCTTCTTTGCCTTCTTATCCTTTGGCCGAGGCGATGCATGCACTTCGATTTCATGGGACTTGAATAGATTTGCCATGCAGTATTTTTCTACGAGTACTTCCGTAGCGTGCCTTCTTTGCAGCTTTCTTCTCCATTTTCTTCAATTTCTTTGCTGCCTCGCAGGTTCTGCTGCAGTCCGGGTTACATGGTCAGCGGTTAGCACAAACAACTGCCCAAAGCCCAAAAAGCGAATGGTTCAGCGCCTTTTTGGCCTTCTTGTCTTTCTTCTTCTCCTTCTTGTCCTTTTCCATTTTGGTATCCTCCTCAAACCTGCAACTCAGTTGGCAAGCGCCAGTTTCAATTTGACTCAGACGGTCAAACGGGTCCTCTTGCCTCGAAATGACCTCCTCTTTGACTTCTTCCTTCACCTGCGACAGGCTGCGGGTCTTGATTTGCCTTCCCTACACCAGTAAGTCACTAATGATTTCACTAATGTCTCTTCAACGCAATGGCCACAGTTGGAGCATACGTGATGAGCTGGGAATGTCTCCGAAGGGCTACGTAGTGCAGCTCCTAGTAGTGCCGCTCGAAATTGGAGCATAATTAGTGTGCGTGTCTAAATCTTGGCAATCTTGAGGGCAACCTGAGACTGTTGATACTCACGACCAGCAGCAGTCGCTACTTTGTAATTGGTGGTCATGCTGCCTTTGGGAACGACAAAAAGAACCACAAATAGCTGGTCAATGCAACTCCTCAGAAATTGAAATGTTCATAGAATGAGGATCCCTGAAGTCAGGGCACGAGACATTGCGCAATTTCTTTTCCCACCTCTGACCTTGCTGAAATCCCCATTCCTTGTGCCAGACATTGCCAGATTCCCGAAACTCGCTGCGCTTGCACTCTGATTCATTCGCCACAACGATGCCAAGCCCAACCCAGCTGATGCCCATTCCGGGACGCTGAAGTCAGTACGAAGACGGTTCATGCCAAAGGAATTCGGACAAGAAAAACAACTTGGATAGTCTGGATTTTGCACAACTTGGATTACTTTGGTGTACAGTTGTCAAGTTTGAAAGCTCTTTCAGAATTGACTCACTATCTTCCACTCATTTCAAATCTTAAATCGCCTTCTTTGTCTGGAAAATATCTGCACTGTGCATTCACATTCACATCACATTCACATTCTGCAGTCTGGATCACAAAGAGCACCCCGTTCCCCGAGACGTTGGACAGTCTCGTGCACTTCCAACGTTCCAAAGACGTCTTTCTTCAAACGCGCTTGAAGAAACCTTGCTTCCAGTCGTAGGCAATGTCCCCTTTTGCGGCACCAAGTGCCAAGGCCTAGGACTGTGAACAAAAACATTAAAAAACAACAGAATGGCAGACTGATGGCAGACTGTGGTATCAGCTCTGCATTTGCTGCATATGTGTGAAGTCAAACCTACACAGGCCGCGCCTCTTTGACTGTCTTCGCATGTTTGTATTTTTCGTACCGATGAAAGGATGTGCCACCAGCCTTGAAACGTCTTGAAACCAAAGGAAACTTGTGAAGTACTTGGAATCACAAGAGCTAATAAGTCAGTGCAGGGGCAAAGGGGGCCGAAGCGTGGGTTTCCGACGTTGCGCTGTGATGCTCCCGGGGGCGGGTGGCGCTGCGACGCTGCGACGCTGCGACGCTCCGGGGGGCGGGTGGCGCTGCAACGCTGCGACGCTGCGACGCTGCCGGGCCAGTGACGCTGCGACGCTGTTGGCGCTGCGACGCTGCGACGCTGGAGTGACGCTGCGACGCTGTTGGCGCTGCGACGCTGCGACGCTGCGACGCGGGAGCGACGCTAAGACGCTGTTGGCGCTGCGACGCTGCGACGCTGCGTCGCGGGAGCGACGCTGCGACGCTGTTGGCGCTGCGACGCTGCGACGCTGCGACGCGGGAGCGACGCTGCGACGCTGTTGGCGCTGCGACGCTTCCTTCTGCAAGAGTGCACACGGCGTTGCGTCGCGGCGCGACACGGAAACCCCCATTGAAGATCGTCAATGAATGTCGAAATTTATATATAACGGGGCTGAAAGAATTAAATCCTTATTGAAGATCGTCCATGAATGTAGAAGTTTAACGGGGCTGGGAGAATTAAACCCTCATTGAAGATCGTCAGGGAATGTAGAAGTTTAACGGGGCTGGGAGAATTAAACCCTCATTGAAGATCTTCGATGAATGTAGAAGTTTAACGGGGCTGGGAGAATTAAACCCTCTTTGAAGATCGTCAATGAATGTAGAAGTTTAACGGGGCTGGGAGAATTAAACCCTCATTGAAGATCTGAATCTTCAATGAATGTAGAAGTTTACCGGGGCTGGGAAGAATTAAACCCTCATTGAAGATCGGCCATGAATGTAGAAGTTTAACGGGGCTGGGAGAATTAAACCCTCATTTAAGATCGTCCATGAATGTAGAAGTTTAACGGGGCTGAGGAGAATAAAATCCTTATTGAAGATCGTCCATGAATGTAGAAGTTTAACGGGGGTGGGGAGAATTAAACCCTCATTGAAGATCGTCCATGAATGTAGAAGTTTAACTGGGCTGGGGAGAATTAAACCCTCATTGAAGATCGTCCATGAATGCAGAAGTTTAACGGGGCTGGGAGAATTAAACCCTCGTTGAAGATCTCAGTGAATGTAGAAGTTTAACGGGGGTGGGAGAATTAAACCCTTATTGAAGATCTTCAATGAATGTAGAAGTTTAACGGGGCTGGGAGAATTAAACCTCATTGAAGATCGTCGATGAATGTAGAAGTTTAACGGGGCTGGGGAGAATTAAACTCTCATTGAAGATCGTCAATGAATGTAGAAGTTTAACGGGGCTCGGGAGAATTAAACCCTCATTGAAGATCGTCGTCCATGAATGTAGAAGTTTAACGGGGCTGGGAGAATTAAACCCTCATTGAAGATCGTCAATGAATGTAGAAGTTTAACGGGGCTGGGAGAATTAAACCCTCATTGAAGATCGTCCATGAATGTAGAAGTTTAACGGGGCTGGGAGGAATTAAACCCTCATTGAAGATCTTCAATGAATGTAGAAGTTAAACGGGGCTGGGGAGAAGATTGAATGTACGGGGCTGGGAGAATTAAACCCTCATTTAAGATCGTCCATGAATGTAGAAGTTTAACGGGGCTGGGATTATTAAACCCTCATTGAAGATCTTCAATGAATGTAGAAGTTTAACGGGGCTGGGAGGAATTAAACCCTTATTTAAGATCGTCAAAGAAAGTAGAAGTTTAACGGGGCTGGGAGAATTAAACCCTCATTGAAGATCTTCGATGAATGTAGAAGTTTAACGGGGCTGGGAGAATTAAACCCTCATTGAAGATCTTCAATGAATGTAGAAGTTTAACGGGGCTGGGAGGAATAAAACCCTTATTGAAGATCTTCAATGAATGTAGAAGTTTAACGGGGCTGGGAGAATTAAACCCTTTTTGAAGATCTTCGATGAATGTAGAAGTTTACCGGGGCTGGGAGAATTAAACCCTCGTTGAAGATCGTCAGTGAATGTAGAAGTTTAACGGGGCTGGGAGAATTAAACCCTCATTGAAGATCTTCAATGAATGTAGAAGTTTAACGGGGCTGGGAGGAATTAAACCCTTATTTAAGATCGTCAAAGAAAGTAGAAGTTTAACGGGGCTGGGAGAATTAAACCCTCATTGAAGATCTTCGATGAATGTAGAAGTTTAACGGGGCTGGGAGAATTAAACCCTCATTGAAGATCGTCAATGAATGTAGAAGTTAAACGGGGCTGGGGAGAATTAAACCCTCATTGAAGATCGTCCATGAATGTAGAAGTTTAACGGGGCTGGGAGAATTAAACCCTTTTTGAAGATCTTCGATGAATGTAAAGTTTAACGGGGCTGGGGAGAATTAAACCCTCATTTAAGATCGTCCATGAATGTAGAAGTTTAACGGGGCTGGGGAGAATTAAACCCTTATTTAAGATCGTCAAAGAAAGTAGAAGTTTAACGGGGCTGGGGAGAATTAAAACCTCATTGAAGATCGTCCATGAATGTAGAAGTTTAACGGGGCTGGGAGAACTAAACCCTCATTGAAGATCTTCGATGAATGTAGAAGTTTAACGGGGCTGGGGAGAATTAAACCCTCATTGAAGATCTTCAATGAATGTAGAAGTTTAACGGGGCTCGGGAGAATTAAACCCTCATTGAAGATCTTCAATGAATGTAGAAGTTTAACGGGGCTGGGAGGAATTAAACCCTCATTGAAGATCTTCAATGAATGTAGAAGTTTAACGGGGCTGGGAGAATTAAACCCTCATTGAAGATCGTCCATGAATGTAGAAGTTTAACGGGGCTGGGAGAATTAAACCCTCGTTGAAGATCGTCAGTGAATGTAGAAGTTTAACGGGGGTGGGGAGAATTAAACCCTCATTGAAGATCGTCAATGAATGTAGAAGTCTAACGGGGCTGGGGAGAATTAAAACCTCATTGAAGATCGTCCATGAATGTAGAAGTTTAACGGGGGTGGGGAGAATTAAACCCTCATTGAAGATCTTCAATGAATGTAGAAGTTTAACGGGGCTGGGAGAATTAAACCCTCATTGAAGATCGTCGATGAATGTAGAAGTTTAACGGGGCTGGGAGAATTAAACCCTCATTGAAGATCTTCAATGAATGTAGAAGTTTAACGGGGCTGGGAAGAATTAAACCCTCATTGAAGATCGGCCATGAATGTAGAAGTTTAAGGGGCTGGGAGAATTAAACCCTCATTGAAGATCTCAATGAATGTAGAAGTTTAACGGGGCTGGGAGAATTAAACCCTCATTGAAGATCGTCAATGAATGTAGAAGTTTAAGGGGCTGGGAGAATTAAACCCTCATTGAAGATCTTCAATGAATGTAGAAGTTTAACGGGCCGAGGTAGTGTTCAGAGGGGGTCGCTGGCTTGATCTTCGAAGATGCAACATATATTCAAAGGGGGTTGCGGGGCTGATGTCTCAAGGTGCAACGTATTGTTCAGAGGGGGTTGGGGAGTTGATGTCTTGTGATGGTGAAGATGCAACATAGTGTTCAGAGGGGGTTCCAGGGCTACTGTCTCAGCTTGTCCGGTGGCTTCTCGGCTTCTCGGCTTGTCCGGTGGCTTCTCGGCTTCTCGGCTTGCCCGGCGGCTTCTCGGCTTCGCGGCTTCTCGGCTTCTCGGCTTGCCCGGCGGCTCCTCGGCTTCGCGGCTTCTCGGCTTCTCGGCTTGTCCGGTGGCTTCTCGGCTTCTCGGCTTCTTGGCTTCTCGGCTTGTGCCGGGCTTCTCGGCTTCTCGGCTTCTCGGCTTCTCGGCTTCTCGGCTCGTACTTCGCGGCTTCTCGGCTTCTCGGCTTCTCGGCTTGTGTCGGGCTTCTCGGCTTCTCGGCTTCTCGGCTTCTGGTCGCATTTCTGGGCCCCTTTTGCCCGTGCTTTGTAATAAGTTAATATGCAACAAACTGCAGGCCTTCTTTGGGTTAGTCTGAAGGAACCTCAGGGCAATCAGTCAAAGCCAATCTACAGTACACCTCTTTGCTTTGTTCTTGTCACGAGAGCTTGTCACAAGACTGAGACCAGGAATGCAAAAAGCTCGCACGCGTTGCATCGATCATTGGGACACTGGCTGGATTGGCTCCTCCAGACCCGGTGCAGAGGTTTTCTCTCCACCTGACAGCTCTGGGTTGGGTGAAAATCTGGAGCAAAGCCAAAAGGTAAAAGAATTTAAACGATATTAAACAGATTTAACATGATCTAACAAAGATTTAATACGGTTTAACATGGTTTAACGAAAATGGTCAATTAGTGGCGTTCTCAGTGCTGTGTCGAAGACTGTCCTCAACAGCACGCATGTCTAGAATTTTCATGAATTTTCTAGAGAGAATCTTCTGAACCATCTGCTTGGGGAGCAAGCTTCCACCACAAAGTCGCAGCAAAGGGATCCAGTGAGGAATTCAAATCCTACACCGGCCGTAGTTGTATGTAATGTACAGGAAGCGAGAAAAACCATTGAACAATAGCGACTTGTTCGTCTTGTAACCTGCTGCCAGTTCTGGCAATTCAACCTGACAAAGGCTTGGTCT